TAGTTAGATCTACTATAAACATATATGTATAATACTTGTTAATGTATGTAACTTAAGGTGTATTATAGAAGTGTATGTGAAACAATGTACTGCTGAATAATAGTAGGCACTATAAGCATATAAATTAATAAAAGATGTGAGCAAACCCAACAAACAACAACAACACACAACAATCATCTACAGGATACAACACAGAATAAATAGAAAGAATCACAAACCTAACAAAAACTGCAAATCATCAAATATAGGACATCACCTGGAGAATCGTCACACACAACGTCAGAGGATTCAACAACCAAACTAAAAGAGATTGCTGGCTGGCATATTGCCAATATAATAAATAAACTAAATAATAAAATAAAAAAATAAATAAAGTCGATCATTAGCAATCGATAAAAAATATATATATATTCTTTTATAATCATATAATGGACGGACAAAAATCCTCATGTGATATTGTCGATTACAGTTTGCAGAGAATATATATGTCCTACGCTATGCTTCGGACAATAAAATATTAATATAAAAATATCAAATTAATTATCATATTTTTAAATATTATATAAAAATTGATACTTGAAATAGAATTTATACTAAAGATAAAATCAACTTTTTACTTTTTATAATAATATAACTAATATTAATTATATTAATTTATCAAAAAAAATTTAGAGAATTAATAAATTGTTGAATTTTTTTACAAAATAACAATTTTAAACATATAAGTAAAATAATTTAAAATTTTTTTCAAATAATATTTTGTTATAATAGAATAATATTTTTTTTTTTAAGTAGGTAAACACTATTTCTTTATTTATTTATATATTATAGGATATACATTTAGAAAGAAACAATATCTCTCACATATGATTTGCAGTGATTTTAATACTAGCCTGCTTATAGTAATTATTTAATTTCTATTAGAAAAGATATTTTAAAACTAGTATATTAATCAAATAATGCCGAGCAGCTATATATGCCTACTCAGAGTTATTTTGAGAAATAAAATTATGATAATTTGAAATAAGATTAGAAATACATAATGAAAAGTTAAAATTGTTTTGAATAAATGTTTCTGCAACTAATGTGAGAATATCAACTATTGTATTGCAGTTTTGAATATTTTAACTAGCATCAATATAAGAAGTGATGTTGATTTTTGAGATATTTGCATTGGGGTTGTAATTATTTTTGCTACTGTTACTGGCTTTGTTGCTGTTTGTTTTTTTTGTTTTTATTATTTTGTTTCATTTGATATTGATGAATAGTGAAATATTTGCTGTACTATAATGAGGTTTTCACATAAAGTTGTAAAACATTGTAAAGGCTTCAATAAATGTTTTTATTCAATTGTGGATATTGGTTGTAAAGAATATGTTTGCAGTGATTCTACATACTAATTCTATTATTTGTCATATGTTAGAGATTGGGTAATTGCTGTTGTTTAAATAAAAGATTGTATTAATTGAGTTGATGATTTGCTTGACTTCTTTTTTTGCTTCAGAACATTCGAGAATGTGAAAGATGGTTTCTAATCGAAAGCTGCATCTGGGACAGTATAGGTTCTTGTAGTATTTAGGGTATAGGTTATAAAGAAATTCTCATGTGGAAAGGATATCCAAAAGTAATTTAATTCTAAATACTATCAGATCACTATAACTGTTGTTATAAAGTCCTTTTATATGTTTGTTAGATAAGTTGATTATTTTGAGATCAATAGTGTTATGAAATTGATTAAATGTTTTAAATATAGAGGAACTCTCACATATTATGTAGGATCTGATAATACTAAAGATTTTCTTGTACCATCTTGAGCAACTTCCCAAATCTGTGTGGTTTATGGTTGGATTCTCTATGAAATATAAAGATGAGTTGTTCCATTATATATCATTGGTAGTTCTTGGATTGGATTTAGGTTTGACAAGATTGAGTATAATAGATTTTTGTGTTGCCATGTGTTCAATTCTTAATATTAAGACAGTAAAGTTAATTTTTGTTTGTTTTTTAGAAAAGCTAGAAGGGATTTAAATGATGTTTTTGTTGTTTCTGCTTTAGATTGTACATTGGATAAAGCACTATTGCAGAATCTCATAAATGATATGAAGCATGCTACCCATTGATAGTCCTGAATTTGTCATTGTGATTTTGATATTATTGATCACTATCTCTTGTTTGACAAGTTGAATATAATATGAGTTGCAAAGGCTGATTGCTTGGAGTGGCGAGAGAGGTAGTAGAGCAGATATGATATTTATTGAATAAAAAGCAAGTTTATTTTTGGATGAAGAAATTGCTAATTCTTCTATGATATTGCACAGGTGATGCTTGAAATTAGATGAAATTTTGTTATTTGTTCAAAGTAAAGAAGCATTAATACTAAAAAAGGTTAGTGAGCAGGAGTATTTAATGAGGTTGTTGCTTGAGTCTATTATATAATGTCTGCCTTTTAGGGATAAGTTCTCATGTATATCTAAATATCTTCTATATGTTTTGACAAAAGAATTGGTATTGTAAAGAAATCAAAAAAGTAGTTTTGAATTTGGAATAGGTCTATAAGATCCCAAGAGATTGTTGTTATTGTTGAAATTTTTAAACCAAATTGGTTCTGGATCACACTGTGCGATACTAGTATAGATGATGATTTGTAACCAGGATAGTTTGAGAGGATTGTTGAATCATAGAAGTTGAGTAGTGAATTTAATATTGAAAGCATTTGATATGTTTATTGTTAATTCTTTGAGTTGAGTTGACATGATTTTGAACAGGAGACCAATACTGTTATGGATATTTTTGAGATGAAATGAACAGTTTGGAGGTCAGATCTGGATTTTTAAGTTTTTTGCAGCTTTGATCCCATATGGAATCCAGTTGTTTTGATTAAATTTGTCTGGCTCGCAGATTGAACAAAACTAAATTGTCTCTTTTTTCTAAATGGATTGAATAGTTTGTATTATATATTTTTTAATAGAAGAAATAACTAATTTGATTATTGGGTTATTAATAAGACTATATATTTGTCTTTTTTCAAAAAATAATATATTTAGGTCATCATAACTGATTATTATGAAGTTGGGGTATTTGGATAAGATTTTGTATATGAATTTGATAAGTTTGTTAATTTTTGTTTGAATTGAGTTAAGCAAGCTACTGTCTAGAAAAGATATGAATAAGAAGTATTCAAATTTTTTTAGGATTATCTATTTACAGATACATTGTTTGATTTCTCCCTTTCATTGATACTTGGATAATTTTTCTAAGGTTTGACAAGTTACTTGATTAAATATCTTTTTATTGGATTTGAGGAAGTTTTGTGGAGATATAAGTATCCCAAGGTATTTGATACTTTCATATGGTTTTAGTACTTGCATTGGATGATTTTTAAAGTTAATTGTTCTGGAGCTGTTTTGGTTGACTTTGATGTTTTTGATAACTTTGGTTTTGTTTTTGTTGTATATAATGCTGTTGATTTGGAAAAATTAGTTGGTGGTTTCAAGAAGGGCTTTCATTTTGATCTTGGATTTAGTGATTAAAACAAGATCATCCATATAGGCAAAGGCATTTGGGGCCATGAAGCCTTGTATTGGTTTGTGTTTGGTTAGTTTAAAGACAAGGGAGTCATAGAAAATGATCCAGATTATTGGTGAAATGGTTTCTCCTTGTTCTATGTTATTGTTGACTAGAAAGGATTTGATATAATAGAATAATTTTAATATAGTTTTAATATAAATATAAAAAAAAACTATAATAAATTTAATCATGTCAATAAAACAATAAAACGTATTATTGACTTGTAGCTAATAATGAGAGAAATAAATTTTATATTAAAATTGTTTATTAAAAATCACATTATTTTATACTTTCAAACAATCTATAAATCACATGATACAGTACAAAATTATAAACAAAAATGTGTGTCCAAAAACTTTTCTTAACAATTGACTACTAAATTCGGTAATTGACCAATATTATTACTGTTAATATTTTTATTTTAAATAATATTAATACACTGTATATCAGTTGCTAGAAAAAAAAATTTTTTTTTAAATAATTAATAACAGCAAAATAAATTTGAATTGATATACAGTATACTATTTTATTTCAAATAATATTACTATAAATTTAATAATTCAAATCAATATTTTATTCAATATGTATTTTTTTTTAAATAAATATTATAAGAAAAAAATTTTTTGACTTTACCAACTATTTAATAAATCTCTTTACATAATATTGAGTAAATGAATTTTTATAATGAACTAATAATATCGCAATAATAAAAATAATCAGAATGTGATTTTTATTTTTTTCTTATATATATATATTTTTGAAATATTATAATTCATAAAACATAATGGTTTGTCTAGCGTTCTTGTAAAACCGTTAAGCTTTAATGAATTAATATCAACATATAACCATTGAGTAAAGCTGATTTTTCATACATGACTGTATTTATAAAAAATGATTATATTCTCACCAATTTTGTGTAGATTACATTTCTTTACACTAATTAACGACTCTTTGCAGCAACTTTTCCCTGAGCACCACGAGCTTGTTGTTTGGAAAATTTAGTTTGTCCACGAAATGCAGCTTGCGCAGTCTGAGTTGTATTGGAAATTATTATATGTTAAATCTTATCAAATGGCATAATTTCGAATGAACATATATTAAAGATGATGATAACCTTTGCTTTCTCAGCTTTCCTCTTAGCCTGCTCTTGCTTCTTTTTTTCTTTGCCTTCACGAACAGCTGCGGCACGGGCAGCAGCTCTCACTTCTGGCTTTTGATTACGTTTGGACTTGATGGCATCCCATGATGCGCCAACAATTGCACGTTCATGTTTAACCGTACGACGGGTACGTTTCTTTGCAACCTCTTCGGTAATACCTTTTTTGTGCATACGACGATATACTTGCGTCCAGCAGATTTTACGAGGATTTAATTTCTGCAGGCAAAGGGATTCGGTTTTTGATCCAACAAAACGAAAAGTCTAATAAAAACGATTATCATAATTAATCATCAATAATAAAATTTCGATAATTTTTATTTAACGACATAATAATTATTGGTTTTATATGAAGAGTCGCATCAATCCTACAACTAAATTATCATAGTTTAAGAATATCAAGTCTAACCTTGTTATCCGCCCTGACATAGATTTTACCTTTTCCAGGGTAGATCTTATTGCCTGAGAATGAATCGACCTCGATCCTAGAGGTTTAAAGCAAACTCAAATCTTATCTCATAACGAAGGCATAACTTAAAATTATTACTTCATTCTAATCTCTTACTTCATGGTTATAGTCGAGAATTTCGATAAGTATTGATCAAATTGTAGAGCAAAAAATTTTTTCACATTTTATGCATAAATCATGTGATTTACGGATAAGGTGTATTATGTAACCATAAAATCTGTCATGTAATAAAGTAAATGGGCCTCGTTTATGAAAATGGTCTCGTGGTGTAATGGTTATCACTCAGGACTTTGAATCCTGCGATCCGAGTTCGATTCTCGGCGAGACCTTAAAATTTTAGTTATTATAAATTTTAATACTGATGATATATTTTTAACTTTTAAACAAAAAATATGTTATTAGTGATTAAAAAAAATTATTGAGTTTATAAGTTAAAAAAATAATAACTATATAGATTTTCTGTATTACTATTCATATATAATTGGGTTTGTCATGTGAATTTAATCGACATATAAAGTTTTCCCTTAAATATTGGCATTTGAAGTGTAACAATTTCCATAATTAAGAAAAAAAACGTGTTTTAGGAAAAATGAATAATGATTTTTCGTCAACGTATCTTCAGTCATCGAATGGCGGCAACAATTCGTACTCAAATGTCGACGCCCAACCGAACAATACTGGCTATGATGCCTCGCAAAACATCCCTTATTCTTGGGGCATGCCCGAACAGCCACCGCCCTCAGCACCAGCAGTTCCAACATCCGCAAGTATAAACGCCGCTCCATCAAAAGGTTCTTATTCCGGTATGGATGTGAATGCCAATGTTTTATCATCTCAAAATAATCCTGTTGTCGTTCAAATGCAAGGAGGCTAAAGCAAACATGAATATAGATAATAATGGCAAAGGCATTCCCAATAACAAGTCGTCTGCTATCATAAATGGAAGTGGTAGTGGTAATAATAACATAAACAATAGATCTCCCGAATACGGTAAAGTGAAATCTCAATTGAGATGTATGCAATTTGTCAGTGGTTCTGAAGTTTTATTAAATGAATAGCATCTTTTCTTTTTCCATTATATTTCCGTCGACATAGTCGAATACACTCAACAATGCGTGCAAACGGTAATTTATTCCATTAACAACTAGAAGGAATGATTATGCGACAAAATTCCATAATAAATATCTGCTTATATTAAAATTCACCTTATTTACTTAGATACTAGAAATCAATTCCGAATTGATACGCGTTTGTATTGATTATCAAAATAATAACTTGCTCAACGAACAAGAATTAATACAGTATGTACTTTATTGTACGTTTTATATATGAGTCAAGATAATAGTTATAATTTTTTTCTTCATTGGCCGCGGAAATAGGTATAAACAACGTCTTCAAGTCAATCTATCTTACCTTGCGACAGTGGCTGATGAATACAATAATAACTCTCGAAATGTAAGATCTCCAACCTTTGCACATGCAAAAAGATCAGTAAATTATATTAATTTTATTTTAAATATTTACAGGAAATAAAACCAAAAGCAATCCCTGACTTATCACTATTGCCTACTCCACGTGGTTCACATGGAAAAAATCTTAACAGTCTTGTTCAAAGAGCAGTGCATGCATTTGCTAATCACAAAAAATTTCATCGCCATACAAACATTAATTCTAATAATAAAGGATTCACCAATACTACTTCAACTCAAGCAACGCCAGATACCGATTCATCTGCATCACCACGCCAATATAAGTTATCCTCGTCTTCAAATGGTATGATGAATTCATCTTCTCAGTATCAACAGGCTTACCAAAAACAGCAGCAATCTTCGGCAGCATTACAACAACAGATTCCTCCGCAACCACCGCAACAACCTCAAATACAACAACCGCCCCAACATCCGCAGCAAATGCAACAACATTCACAGCAACAGCTGCAACATTCACAACAGATGCATCAACAACAGCAGTTACAACAAGCATCGCAACAACAACATTCACATCAACAATCACAACAAATACATCCTCATCAACAGTCACAACAATCATCAAGCAGATATTCAAACTCAATGCTTCCATCTGTCACAATGGCAGCGGCATATCAACAACATTCATCTTCATTACAGCAAAATATGATTGCTAATAACATGCCTGATTATTCGATGGTGACAACTTCAAACCAAGAACACTCCTATCAAGTCTTACCGCCACTTGTCGGGGTCGGTATACCAGTTAATGGTAGTGTGAATGCTGGAAATACCAACAATGTGAATGGTAGTGGTAACGGGCAAACAGCAGGAGGAATATTACCATCTATTATTGGTCTAAGTGACCAATATAGTATGTCTACATCTCAGCAACAGCAACTTCAACTGCAAAATGTTGGATTCTCCGGATTTGTGGGAAGTGGAGGTGCCGGTACAGGGTTCGGGCCCGCCAATGCATTTGGAATGATGAGATATCCGAGTTCTGGTGGGATGGTTAACAATAGCGGAATAGTAAATAACAACACTATAGGAAATAATGGAATTGGAATTAATGCTAGTTATGGTAACAATAGTATATCTGGTAATACATTAGGTTTACCGAACATGTTGAATCACGAAAATGGTATGTGAGTACAATATCCATTATTTTTTTCATTTAATTATAGGACAAGATTATTCTGCTTGAATGAAAAAAAAAATCATTTGTAATATATTTAAGATAGTTGAAAAGTTAAATTAGATTTTTGAAAATTATGCAATTTTGTTTTTTTTAAATTTTGTGAAAGATTGCAAAAGACTTTGTCAATAGTCAATAATAAAATACATAAGCAGAATGTTGCATAAATCCTATTATGTATCATTCAACGCTTATAATTTATATAATTTATTCATTATATAAAGTTATTTATGAATGAGTATATTTACAAAGCAAAAAAATTATTTAAAAAATTTTTATTGCATAATTTGTATAATTTTGAATTTTTTAATTTTTATTTTGACTTGTAATTTAATGAATAATCAACATTATATCTTATTTAAGTTTGTTTTTGTTAAATTTAACAATATATATAAATTTTATCTGATGTATAAACCTATTTACTTGATATAAGTATGAATGACCAGACATATAGAAAGTTGTTTAAGGCAACTTTATTATTAGAAATAGTTAAATTATTATTGAGAAAATATTTTTATATAATAGTATTTGAATTATAATATTTTTATTCAATAGTATTTCACATATATATTATAGACAATATATTAAATTTTCTAATATAAATTATTTATTTATAAAAACTCCTGATCATATTTGTTTTGTTAAAAATTTTTCTTTTATAATAATTTTAAACAAAAAAATGTTTTATACTTTTTATCACAAGTAAACCTTAATTCAAGAACTAAAGAATCTTTAAGACAACTAGTACAGTAGAATGGAACCTCTGGTCAAAGTCTATTCAAGTTTGGGAGTCTTGCTTATCCTTTGATTGCATGAGAAAAGACCTGTGGCAATTCTCTTTTCTTTTGTTCTCTTATATACATCCTTATTCTTATTATATCATGAAAACTATCTACATCAATATCATTATACTTACTAAACAAAATATCTTTTAAAAAATACACTTAAACAAAGTTGTTGAACCCAATATTTGTTTCAAATCAATTTTTACACATAATATTATTATAATAATATTTGTTATACCATCTCAAAATTTTTAAAAATTTTTATTCAAAAAACTAAAATCAGTTTATTTCCTTTAAATAATTATTATTTTTCAATTATTTAATTAGATTTTATCAAAAATATCAAAACAAAAACTGAACCTATTTAAATTAGTTTTTTAGTATAATAACAATAACAATAATAACTTCAAATATTATCAATTATATTATAATTTCTTTGTTATCAAAGCATATATTAACAATTGGAAAACTTAGTAGACTCTAGTTTCTATAGTCAAGCAAAAGATTACTCTAGAAACAGAACTTTTATTATCAAAAATCTTATTGTTTATTTGATTTACAAAGAATGGACAAAAGTTTATAAACAACTTTAAAAATTAAAAATTAAATTAAATTAATAGAAAATTAAATAAATAAATAATATATTCAAAATCTTTAAAAACTAAACTTTTAAATAAAAAATTTTTTAAAAAAATTATACAATAGTTTTTAAGAAAATTAAATTTAAAAAATTTAAAAAATTTTTTATTTAACAACTATAATATGTATAAAAAAAATTTGTTTTTTTTTAAATATCTAATTAAATATTTTTTTATTATCAATTTATGTACTATTGATTTATAGATATCTATATAGCTAATTATATATTTTTTAATATTTTCTAGTCTTTCCTTTAATCACAATGCAAACTGTAATATGACATGATATACTCTTGATCAATTGTTTGCAGTATATCTGATTGATCTTATTCCAACATTTTAAAATACAATTTTTAAGTTTATTAAATTATTAAATTTGACTTTGCAAACCTGAACTTTAATATAATACCAAAGATTTTTAATTGAATTAAGATTTGGATTTCAAGAAAACCAGTTCATAATCTGAATATTTTTATCTGCAAAAAATTTTTTTATAATTTTCACAGCATGTAGCCTTGTATTATTATATTAAAACCAAGAGTGACTACCATAATCCCAATTAGTTTTATCAAAATTTCGAAGAACTGATAGAAAATAATCTTGAAGAGTTGTAATATATAACTTTGTTATAAAAAAAAAAGCATAAGTCTAATTTTTTTTTTTATTTAATAATTAATTTTTTCTTACCTTTAATCAAGATGCAAAAAGAAACAAGGAGGCCAACATCAAATTATAAAAAACACTTCCAATATATATAACTTGGGCTATAGTTTATAGTGGCAGAAAAATATTTAGAATTTCATTCTTTATGTGGATTATGCCAAACATGATATTTACTTCCTTGCTAAAATTAAGTAAACATAAACTTGTCCCTTCAGACTACCTTTTTAAAGTCCCAAATGGTTTAGTTTTTATATGCAAGATATCAAGTAAGTTGGTCTTCAATATTTTTTTCTAAAAGGAAGGGCTTGGGACAAGTAATACAACTTCTTAACTGTTCTTCATATAGAATTCAACAAATGAATTTTCAGATACTTTAATTCCTATTTTGGTTATAAAAAGATTAGTTAGTTTTGCAACAGTAATATATTTGTTACTCTTTTTGTCAATAACAAGTTTTTGAGTATGATACAAGCATATTTATTGAGGAGTTATAATTATTCTGATCATTGCATTTCTGATTCTGTAAATCCATTTTCAATAAAATGCTTTATAATATTATTCACTATACTTTTTTTATATCTGATATTGGTTGTGATATTATAATAGGTATCTTTTTTTTTATAATCATAAATTATAGCTGCTTTTTGTTTAGAAGTTAATTTTTTATTAGCAGGCATTAACAATTACACAAAAATTGAAATAAAATTTTTAGGTAAATAAAAAAAAAATTATATATATATGATATATTTTTATAAATTAAATATGTTACACTTATATATTGAATATATTTTATCAAAAAAGTTTAATTAGTTTTTAAATTAAATTCTATTTAAAAAAAAGTTATCTATAAACTTTTGTTCATTCTTTGTAGTTTTTTTTTTTTTTTTTTAAGGGCTAAGTTGCGATATATGCATGAATTTTATTGTTAAATCAATTAAGATCACAATTACTATACATGAACAGTCTATTAACTATTGCTAATATTAACTCATGCTACTTGTCCTTTTTTTTTTTACCAGAATATCAACTTATACCAAGTAGGTGAGTCCATATCCTGGTTTATGCTTATAACTTCCTACTTGTAAATATAAGGTAAGGAAAATCCTGTATCAACAATAAAAAACCTTTCTAGCAGTCTCCTTTTTGGCTTATGACCTGACTCTTTCCAAATATTGAATCACCAACCTGGATTGCACCAATATCAAATAGGAAGGTGGAGATCCAATCAAATTTCGGAGTTTGCCAATCCAGTTTTTGGATACTAACTGATTGAGTATGACCTATATCAGGGAACTAGTCAACCTGAATAGGAAGAATAGTAATATGGAGTTTGCTGTTCCAGTTAGGGTTGTGGGCTTTATACCGGAGTTAGACCAAAAGCTTTGCCTCGTGCAACCTTTCCTGCTTCAACCTGTTTTCAGCCTGCGATCGTCAGAAAGACCAGAGATCCCATATTTATGCAGCCTAGCTTGATTTGATAGATGATTTTTGGCTGATTGGATACGACATGTATTGAAAGCCGGTCAATCAATTATGAAGGTGATAAATTTTTTGTAACCAGGTGGGTTTGAACTCTAGACCTTCTCCTGGTAATCTATGGAGCATTACCACTATGCTATAGACCCATAGGTCCCATTCTTTGTAGCTTCAATCTTAGTTATTTTATTATTATATATATATTTTTTTACTGTTTTCTCTTTTATATTTTATCTTCAAAATTCAAAAAATTTTACAAAATTTGTCAAGTAGGTAGGTAGGAATCAAAGTTTTAAACCAAAAACTTATTAATCCGCAAATTGGTTTCAGTTTTTGAAATTTTTAAACCAATAAAAATCAGATCAGATCAATTTTAAAATTTTATAAACTGATCGAATTAAATCAGATCGGTTTTGGTTTGAATCAAAACCAATTTTAATTTTTTATATTTTATATTTAAATAGAAACAAAAATAAAAAATTAAATTAAATTAAAATATATAAAGTAATAAAATAAAATAATCAAAAATTTTTCACAACTTGATTTTGCTTCATTTTTTTACAATGTAGAATTATAAATAAAAAACTTTTTGATGATTTTACTTTTGCTATTTTTATTGTTCCTTTATATTTCAGCAAGTTTGTTTAATGCTAATATTTTTTTTATTCTAATAGTTATTGTTTGACTTCTTATTAATAATTTTTTTAGCAATTTTTTTAAAATGGAATATGAAAATTTTTTTGACAGTTTTAATTTTCAATATATTAATGATAAAACTAGTAGCTTAATTAGTTATAAAAACAGCAATATCAATAATATTATTACAAGTAATTTGTCAGAAACAGTAACATCTTCTATAATAACAAACTGAAGCAAAATATAGAGGCAATTTATAAAAGATTTGGATTTTAAAAATACTAAAAAAGCAACTTGTAACTATTGCAATGCTACATATGTTTGTAGTGGAGGCAGTACTATTAATATATATAAACATCTTGAAAAATATTATGCAACAAAATTAGATTGAAACATTAATAGATCAAGTATTGGAAATTATTTTAATAAAGCAAAGGTAATAAAATTTATTTATATTAAATACCAAGTTTATTATTTAATTTATTTAATATTTTAATATTTAGTGGATATATGACCATAAAAAAATAGAAAAAAATTAATTCAATAAATTGTTGTTAAGCAATATCCTTTTATGATTGTACAAGAACCAATTTTTCAAAATTTTTTAAAAACTTTATCAGAAAATATAAAATTACCTTTTTCAATTTCTATTAAAACAAATATAATGAAATTCTACTTGGCCAATCAAAAAAAAATACAGAAATTATTATAAGAAACAGAAAATTGAATCTTATTTACTTTTTATGTTTGAACTTC